TCACTAGACCCCATGCACATGCAGATTTCTCTCAGGGGGTTAATTAGTATTATATCTGTGTTTGCTTCTCCAGAACATATCTCCCTCCACTGCGGTGTGACCGGCGTCTCGTTTCCTGTAAGTGTCCTCACCGAAGGGACCACCTCCAGTATCCTCCGGCTCTCCCTCCCCATCTCGTCCAGCTCCTCTCCTCTCTGTCTCCTGTTTCCAGCCCCCTGCGTGAGCCTTCCCAGAACCTGAGCCTCCCTTCTCCCTTCTTACCCCCTCCCAGCTCTGGGCTGCTCCGTCGGCCTCAGCGCGGCTGCATGCAACCCCTCCCGCCCTCCTCTTCCTCCTCCTGTCACTGTGCTACCATCCTCCTCCTCTTTCTCCTGTAGACCCCGCAGATTGGAGCTTGGCTTCGCACGAGGGACCACTACAGACGCCCCCCCCCCACGACTGGAATGCAACGATTAAAACGTATCGGAGAGAGAGAGAGCTCCGAGGCCTCTCTGCTCCAGAACTGGAACCCCACCCCCCCCCCCATCATCGGAGAGACGGGTCTCCACCACGCCGGCTTTGATCCCTCGCTTCCGGATCCCCCCCTTGCCTCCCCTGGAAGGATTCTGGGGAATCGTCAGCTCGCGGCTCATGGCTCACGGCTCTTGCTCTGTCCCCCCGGCACAGTGAGCTACGCCAGCGGGCTTCCATTTGTGCCTGTGATCCACCGCCTTCCACCAGCAGCTCCCAGCAGCTCTCCAGTCAGGATTCCAGGCTCTCCGGGACTTTCTGATTCCTGAAACCAGAGCATCAAAATCTACTTTGTGTCCGGATGGGGCTTCTCCTTAAAGCTTGCCGAGGGAATGCTGGGCCAGTGTCGGCGGTACAGCAGGCAGTTCATGAACACAAACAGGGCAAGCGACCGAGGCTAGAGATGTTCGAGACCTTCGGTAATACACCCCTTCTAACAGGACACCGTCCGCAGTGAGAGGGGGAAGGGAGCCGACAGAGACTCTCACTCTAATAAACACGCGCCAGGACAGGAGGCAGCGAGGAGGGGTTTCCAGAACCTGGAGCCCTGAGCTCTGCTCTCTGCGGGCGTCTGCCATCGCTGCCGTTCCGGAGAGGGTGGTCTGAAATCTGTTCACCGCAGACCGGAACCCCTTCCGGTTTTTCTGACCAACGCTCTTCTGAACAAGGCCAGCTAGCTGCTGTGCAGGTTTACTGTGGTAAACCGTGGTAGAATCAGAGTAAAACATGACACAGAAATGTGTGTGAAGATACCATGAAAGCACAAATCAAACTGGGAACAAGATGTATATCTATATACAAACATGTGAGAGCGAATGTATTTATCCCAACCTGCACCAGAAGATCAGGGAGAGGAGAGAGAAACTGTACCCCAAACTGTACCTCAACCTGCATTAGCAGATCAGGGAGAGGCAAGAGAAACTGTACCCCAGATTGTACCCCAACCTACACCAGCATATCAGAGGGAGGACAGAGAAACTGTACCCCAGACTGTACCCCAACCTACACCAGCAGATCAGAGGGAGGAGAGAGAAACTGTACCCCAATCTGCACCAGCAGATCGGAGGGAGGAGAGAGAAACTGTACCCCAATCTGCACCAGCAGATCGGAGGG